AAAACAATGTAGCTGACGCACTTTCTCGTATAAAAACTGGACGATGAAGGAAATGAACTTAAATGCGCTGTGTTGACTTCAAAAATTTTAGATTCTAGAAATACGGTTATTACTGAACTGAAAGCTGATCCTGAATTTGGAAATATCTATGCTTATTTGAAAGACCCCCGAAAGCTTTGAGCACACAGATATCGATGCGATAAGGAATAGAGCAAAAAACTATGAAATAATAGATAATTTATTATTTTATACGAAAACAACAAACGAAAATCTTGAGTATAAACCAGTCATCCCAGCCTCGCTTCGATTAAGCATTTTGAAGGAATTACACGAAGCAAAAACAGCGGGCCATTTAGGGGTCAGAAAGACTTTAAAAAGGGTACGCGAGGCGGTATATTTCCCGCAATTATACATACAAATAGTAACGGCGTATGTCAGGTCCTGCAATCAATGTCAGTTAATAAATGATATTAATTACAGCCCGGCGGGGGTACTTAAATAGCATTCGCGCTACATTTCCGAATGAAATTTTAGGCACAGATCTTCTTGGTCCCTTCCCCAGAGCGAGTTAAATAAAAATCGTTTTCTTTTAGTAATAGTAGATCATTTTTCAAAATGGACAGAAATTGTTCCACTTAAACGCGCGTCAGCAGCCAAAAACAGTCGCAGATGCATTCTTACACAGATACATTTTAAAATACGGTGCACCGATAAAAGTCATTAGCGATAACGGAAAACAATTCATTAGTCAAATATTTGAAAACATATGCAATGGACTTGGCATACGCCATATCAAAATGGTTCCGTATAGACCACAGGCTAACATAGCAGAAAAGAGTTAATAAAACATAGTAAAAATAATTCGCAGTTACGTGAGCACACATCACAAGCGCTGGGATGGCTACATAAATGAATTAGCTTATGCTTTAAGAACGGCAAACCATGATACTACGGGAAAAACTCCAGCAGAATTAGAATTATTTTTAGGCAGAAAGTTAATTACGCCTTTAGATAAATTATTCTTTGTGCAACAAAGAGAGCAGGAGTTTTAAACAAAAGATGTGCAAAAGCTGATTGATCAGGCGCTTAAAAGCTCGGATACGGCAAGAAATAGGCAGAAAAATATACTATGATAGAAAACGCCGTGAAGCAGATTTTAAAGTTGGGGATAAAGTATTGAAGCGGAAATTTTCTTTATCAAGTACCGACCCCAAACAATTTTACGGCAAAGCTAGCTCCAAAGTTTGAAGGCCCCTATGTAATTCAGGAAATCAAAGGAGTAGTATTATATCTTAAGAACGAGAGAGGGGAAATCTGTAAAGCAAGTCCCGACCAGGTGAAAAAATACTATAATCCAAATGATTTTGAAATCCTTAAAAGTTTCTTGCAGGACTCAAGTCTAAACGAAGTAGAAGGTCCAGAGATAACAACAACTATTTCACCACCCAAGAAACAGAGAACTGAAGAGAGACCTAGCCCTTCTACAACCCGGACGTCGGTAGCAAAAAGAAAAAATAACTTTCAAACTCCAGCGTTTAAGAAAAACATAAATACAGATGAACCGGGGTAAAGAAACCGTGGTAAAGAGAAAAACACCACCTACAAGGATCGCAGGAGAAATTATACATCAAGGAGAACGCGCACACGGCCACAGAGTCAGGTGCCAGCAAGGCCGCCGTTCCGGAAACTGAAACGGCAACAGGAGGCACAAAAATACGACGAACAGAAGAAATTCAAGGACTCCAGACCGGAGGACGTCAAGACCAGCCGTCCCAGGGAAAAACGGAAATGCCAACCACCAGACGATTACTCCGCCAAGAGGCCAGCATGTAGAGGACGCAAAAGAAAAAGTAATGTGGACGATACTCGGAGGGCAGTAAGGAGAGAAGTAACATCCATGAACCTCTAACTTGGGACCAATATTGCCAAAAAACGAATGACGGAGTTTCAAGCATCGAAAACTCAAAGATAAGTTAAACCTTCTATAAATTTTTTTCTCTTTTTTCCGAAATGTTATTCATAAGTACGAAGATCTATGTTTTGACGAAAGTCAATATGTCTCGGTTGAGACTTAGTTTTGTTGTTACTTTATTTAGCTAAGGCAAAAGTATTATTTTCTTTAAGTGTAAAAGCTAAAAACAAGCATTTTCTGTTGGTCGAAAGACTAATTCTGTTATGTTAAAGCCAAAATTTGGCCGAAGATAAAATAACTTCGTATTCTTGTATTAATAAGAATTTTAGTTCAGTGCCGCCAGCTTGGCGAAGAATGAGTAAAGTAAAAAATTTATTTCTCTTATTCATTTTATGATACATTGTAAAAATCATATGTATTAAAATTTGTAAATGTACGTAAATACTTGAATGTTATGTAAAGTAGAATTTAGTCTAGAAGCATAAAATTGTAGATGCTAAAAGTGAATGCTTAAAAGTAATGAAGTCAAAATTTAAGTATAAAATTGTAGATAAAGTTATGCTTTAGAGCGAAAGCCTGCATGTTTAAAGATGAATGAGGGGGAAGTTAGAATGAATGTGTTTTGTAGGGTTCTCCACCTACATTTGAATTTTTAAGAATATTAAAGTAGCTCATTGAGTTGTAGAATGTCGAGTAAGGTGTGGTCTATTGGTCGTTGAATTCTAACAAATCATGGTGGTTAGGGAAAGTGTTGTAAGACTAAAACACGAATATTCCCGTTTGACACCACACACGGTGGAGAGCCAGGGTAAAGTTAAATTAATGCTTGAAAAAATTGAATGAATGTGAAGTAAGCAATAACTAAGAAAAAACGAATCGTTTAAAAACAAAAAATTTATTGTGTCAAGAAAGTGTAAATTATAATGTATTTAGAAGATACTGATACTTATTCCTTCCAGATGCTGGAAGGAAAGACCAAGATTGATTGATGAAGTCCAGGAAAAGTTGCTGTAAGAAGAGAAAGTTATAACTATCAACAGAAATTTTAGTGTACAATTTGTTACATAAGATTTTTTTTTTGTGTGTGTAAACGAGGTTCTCGCCAGTTAGTTCAGAATTAGAGAAACTTACAACAGGTCGTTTGTAGGACCTGCTTCCAAGTTTTCCAAATTCTGGCAGCGGCAAATGTAGGGTTTATATTTATTTTAACTAACATTTATTTTAAGTTTAAACTATCTTTCCTGTCAAGCCTTACTTTCCCCTGGAACTGCCAATGCCAGAGTATGTAAATTTTAGTAGAACGCGCAAGGATTCAAATTATCAGCGGAAGTATTCTGATTTAAATAGAAAGGAAACGAGTTCGAGGTGTGTGATATTCTTACTTCACGAGCGCGGAGGTAGTTGCCAGAAATTGAAGAACCCCGCGTTTCGGCCTGTGTGCTTGGCGGGAAGTAGTGTTAATCGTTCAAGTGAGCTTCAAGTCTGCTGAATTAGCAGCGGTATTGTAAAACGCGGTGAGTTAGTTATTTTTAGAGAGCTCGTAGTTAGAGTTTTGTCTTTAGTTTCTTTTCAGGTTATTATTTTTATTTGACCGCCGAGTTGGCGCAGTCTGTGAGCGTCAAGAGCACGCAATTGTAATTTATTACGTTGAATAAAAAGGGACTTAAACCCTTCACAAGACTCTGTCTTTTATCCAGTTTTCACAGTCACCTCTTGTTTGCGTGCAAGTTGGAGGCGCGCAACGCTACAATATTATTAACATTTTTATTGTTTGATGGTGCAGTTTTACATCATATGCAGTGCTCATAATTATTTTCCTCTGTATTTATTAATGTGTTATGATGTTATGTATCAGCCACATAAATTCAAAAATTATAGTTACAGTTTCTGAGAAATTGATGATTTTATTCACGTCAACATAATTTTCAACATGGGTATATGTTTAAACTCTGACAAAAGAAATAAAGCGTTCCAGAAAAGGCAGACAACCCTCGAGTTTCTTAGTTCAAAATCAATTAGCCTAGCCTCAAATTTATAATGTTTTAACAAAAGTGTCTAACAAATTTATTCACTTAACAACATTAAAAACAAAATGAAAAGAGGAGCTTTCTTACCTACATCTACTTCTTACATACATTCCCAGCATTTGGAGCACCGTACATCTTACAAAGTGACAATAGCCAGAAATTCGCTAATCAAATTTTTGAAGAAGTTTACGGGATGTACAGTAAACTCAAAACTGGTTTTGGAGAGCGAGGACGTAGTCAGTTACGAAGCTCAGTTGAAAGAGAGAACAGCATGTTGGAAATATGTTATTATGTTTATGGAACAAATAATGCAACGAAACAGTCAGAAGGAATAAAATTTATTCATTTTATGGAAAATATGCGCGCTATTTTAGATTAGATCAAAGTTCATATAAAACTGTATTAAGAAAAGGTAGGGTTGAAGTTGATAGGCGGAATATTACAGTTATTAAAATTTCTGCTGTAAATTAAGTACAAAACAAGGCATTTAAACAAGGTGTTCCCGAAAAATGAATTTACCATCTATAACGAAACTTTTAGTTCAGTTCGAGATACTAAAATAAGTCTAAGAGAATGCGTTTGTAAGAATGTTAACGTAAGTAGTCAAGGATTTCAGTAGCGCAAGTATTCAGGATATTTTAACTCAAATCGCTGAAATGTAATATGTAAAAATCTTTTGTAATGCTAAATCTTACAGAAGCTTTCTGTGTAAAAATAAATAATTTGTTTTAAATCATTTATTAACAATATCTGTATGAAAACTTGTTTATATTTAAATAATAAAATAAAAGTAATATGCTTTATGAAATATATTTTGATTAAAATCATCAAGCTTCATCTGTAATTAGTAATTATTAATATTTATTGGTAAATATAATTATCATGCGTTATTAATCACATTGCACGAAACCATAATGATTATTATTAAAATTAACCTACATTTATTATTACCAACTGGATTTCTTATATGAGCTGTAACATAAATATCAAATTCATTCAACTTAATTTAGATGTGTTTGTGCGAAGTAAAAAAAATAATTATGTCCAAAATTATGATTTAGTTTCATGTTGGTTGGAGCACCAAATGCTGGTAAGACCTGTGTTTTGCGTGTGTTAGCCGATACACTTTCCTTACTGAAAGAAAGAAATTTAGGAGATGAAGACGCTGTCATTTACCGTACCGTCAACCCGAAATCCATAACTATGGGTCAGTTGTTTGGAGAGTTCGATCCCATCACTCATGAAGTAAGTTTCAGATCCCATTTTATTTATGATAATAATTTATTGTTTAATATGCTAGCTGTAAATTTTGCAGTAATGATCTTAAGTCATTAAAAATGCATATGTTAAAAATATTATGTATATATCATTTCTGTCAGCAAAATTTCCTGGTAATAAATATTCTTTTTTATTATTTTAAATGTTGAGGAAGGAGTTATGCCAGTTTGTGTCGCTCTATCAATAAAACATAACTTAATGTATTAGGCTGCATCTCAAAAAAGGATGTGAGAGTTATCCTTCCAATGTATTGTTGTTTTATAAGTGGTATGTACTTCAAAATAGCATCGGAAGATCCATGCTTCCTATCCTGGCAATGACGCAGCTGATTTTTATGTTTCGAACATTGCAAAAGCTAATAGCCTCTTCAGTGACATCCGAACTAAAACGTGGTAAACAGTGACTCATCACCAGCTGGGTTTGGTCAACTGAGTTTAGTGCCTGTCTTCAGTCGCAGCAAATGAGAAAGAATGTAAGGAATTATTATATTTCCTCTTAACACTTTTGTGGTGTAAATGGAGAGCACATCTAGCTAGGATTGGAAGATCCGTGATTGAAACCCTAATTGAATTAAACCTAACCAAAATCTAATTGAATTTTTGCGTTTCTTACTTTACAAAATAATTTCTACGCTTTCTTTTCAACAACTGAAATATAATTTAGAACTGGTTAAAGTCATTTGATGTCTTATTTAGCGTAACAAGTCACTTTTTCACTACCGTCAAGATAAGTGTGTAGAGACATTAGGTATTTTTTGGAAGCAGGCGTGATGAAAAATGACCAACGGGAATCGAACGACGTATCTCTGAATTACGCGCCCAGCGTGCAGACCACCGCACCACGAAGGCACACTAAAAAGGCGGGAGAAATACCTTATATACTCTCCCTTTTAAAGGGAGACTGGGGTTTTAGGGGATGCAAACGCCAAATTCTGTGTGTGGAGAATCATCATCCACCAACATTTTACTTCGGGCGCCACTACAGTGGCGTTGTAGAGACACTACAGTGGCGGCCGAACTAAAAGGTTGGTGGATTTTATTTTTGGAAGCAGGCAAGATGAAAAATGAGCAACGCCTTCGCCGGGACTCGAACCACGGAACCACTACACCACGAAAACACGCTAAGAAGTCGGGAGAAATACCTTATAAGTCGACCTATCTTGGTAAAAATCTTCTGGATAGATGGTGCGCGTCAGTGGTTTGAAGATTCAGTGGTAATTGAACTTTCAATAGTTGTAGTGATTCAGTAATCATAGTATTACATCAAATTTCAATAAATCAACAATCAATAAAATATAAATTGATTTAATTAAATATAATAATATCACAATCTCAGAAATCTCACATCATTACTACGTCAGATCTTTCATCAAACTATCTGAACACATCCAATAGCGCTCTTAGCGCCCTCTAGCGTTACGCGGGTCTTACCAGATGGATTTCTTTAAAAGCTAGCACTGAATTTTTCGTCTGCACCAAACATCATGCTAATTTACTTTTTTAACTGCACTGCACCAAAAATAAGTTATATTCATAAAACTGCAACCTTAAAAGTGAATAAATAGCATTTCTGAAAAAATAAATGAGCATTGATACTAAAAATTACTGATAATTGTCTCTTCTTCTGTGGAGGTTACTTCTTAAATGACTACCTCCATAGAAAACACAAATCATCTGGAAATGTAGCTAGTCATTTAAGGAGATTTTGCTGTATATTATTTGAACAGTTGTATTAGTTAATATATGAGCTAGGAGATAATTTTTATTGCCTTCATTATGCTTAAATAAAGTTATAGAGACATTAGGTTATTTCGAAGCAGAAGATATGAAAAATGAGCAATGCCCTCGCCGGGACACGAACCACGGACGTCTCGATTATGCGGCGAGCGTGCTGACCACTACACCACGAAGGCATGCTAAGAAGGCGGGAGAAGTACCTTATGCACTCTCCCTTTTAAAACGCGATTGGGGATTAGGGGTCCCAGTCGCCAAATCCTGGTGGTGGAGATTCATCATCCACCACCTTTTTTAGTTCGGGCGCCTCTGTAGAGTTATCAGATTTTTTTTTAAACGTGAGAGATAAAAAAATGAGCAGTACCCTCACCGGCACTCGAAACACGGACCTCTCGAATACGCGCCGAGCTTGCTGACAACTGCACCATGAAGGCAGGCTACAAAAGCAGGAGAAATACATTATAAAGGCTACATTTAAGTTTTTAAACTTTTTTATTATCATGTAATTTCAATCACGCTATTCATGCCCATAATCAAACTTTACTATTAATCTTTTGCTACAATTTTATTCTACCACTTTGAGATCAAACAACACCTTCCTGAAACTACTAAGACAGAAAAGATGTCCTTCTACCAGAGTAGGCCTAGGCCAGACATGTAGATTAAACTAGGAAATGATAGACAAGGAAACATTAAAAATTAACTAATTTGTCATATAAATTTACCAAATGTATTCGTGAATTTTCTTTTTAAATGCTTGGTGATAGTAATTCGTGCTAATAATTTTTCTAAAACTGGAAGTTTTTATTTTAAATGTGTTCCTAGTTTTGCCAAAATTGGGGGTTATCAATTTTGGCTTCTATTTAATGTGTCCAAAATTAATAAAAATTTAATTTGTACTTGAATAATGAAGAAATGACAAGTTTTCGTTCTACCTTTATGTTTTTCCCCAACTTATTACTAAAATGAGACGTGAAACTTTTTATATAAGAAGAAAATGAAGCTCTACGAAAATAAAACACTTAACATTAGTTGAATAAACTGATTTTTAAAATAAAGTAGCTTAGTTTGACATGGTAAACTTCTTTAAATGTTCATACTTTTTATATTTTATTTAATTTTCTTATTAGTGGACAGATGGTATTGTGGCAATAATATTTCGAGAATTTGCATTTTCTAAAAGCACAGACAGAAAATGGGTAGTATTTGATGGACCAGTGGATACATTGTGGATTGAAAGTATGAACACTGTTTTAGATGATAACAAAAAGGTAAGAAATTTGTTTTTCCATAAAATTAATCTAGTATATTAATTATTATTGCAAAAAAAAACTTTATCCAATAATGTGTTTTTAATATCTGATTGGAAGAAAATTAAATTTTTTATAATAACTAATACAGTCAAAAGTCGTTAATTCGGACACCCATAATTCGGAATAATCTATAATCCGGACCTCAAAACTAAAAACTTTCTGCGCATGCGCCGCGCTGACACATGCGCATAGGCGTTTGCGCGTGCTCGTAAGACCTTTTACGACTGCGCATATGAGTGTGCGCAAGTGCAGAATACGTTTTCGCGTGCGCGTTTTATGTATAATGGACGTATAAGCTAAAATTATCTAATTATCTATTTCAGTTAATGTTGATGATTGCGTTGTTCCTTAATTTTCGAATTGGATCCGGCTTATTATTTTTGCAGACTGTAAGAGCAATTTTATAAAAGTAAGCTTAAACTTTCGATTATATCAAATAGAATTTCCGATATATATTTGTTAATATGTAAAGGATCTAAAGCGAAAGTATGTTTTGAAATCCGAAATCTGTTTATCAATTTCACGCTGCTCGGCGGGGGGGAACGCAGCGACGTAATGAATTGGAAGTTGATCTGTCAACACTATCCTTATCTTCAGCGCAGATGTTTTTATTTTATTGGCTTATAATTTCTTACCAAATGTAGTATTTCATCTCGATATGCTCCGTTTTTGATATGATTTAAAACAAGTTCCTCGTCATTATAATTCGCTTCCGATAGCGAAGAAAAGTGACAGAGGTTATTGAAAACGAAAAAATTTCGATTGACAAATTAGTCGGTGTTCTCGACACAGCAATTATAGGACTTGAACAGCGGAACTTTGTAACTGAACAAGAAATTATGTCTGTTTAATAGAATTAAAGAGAAAGTATTATCACATGAAACGAAGCAAAACTTAAACAACTTACATTGAAAGAAATGTTTAATAAAGTAAACAAATAAATATTAAGCTTTTTCTTTTGCAAATTTTGATACCCTTTAGATCATAATTGTTCTTTATTTCATAAATTACGGTTTCATATTTTTAATTTTAGAATTTCTGCATGCCATCTTACGAGATTTAAACTGATGATCTATAATCCGGAAAAATCGATAATCCGGAATCGCCGATGTCCCGGCGAGTCAGGATTAACGACTTTTGACTGTAATAAATTGTCTAGTTAATTTTTAATTCATTTATTTAAAATATATAACTTCTCCACAAATGTTTTCTTTTGGAAATGGAGAAATTTGTATGTATTATAGTTGAATTCAAGTTACATGAAATGAACAGTTTGGTTTAAAGGAAATTACAATGCTTCAACTTCTTTATCATCCTTACATTTAGTTAAAGGACACTGTGAAATCATATATAGATATTTTTTATTGAAAATTATTTATTTCTTTTTCTCATATTTTTACTTGCACGTAAATATAAATATTAGTCATGATTACATTTAAAGAGTTAAAAATTTATACTTTTGCTTTATGTTTTAGCAAGAAATATATACTTTTGCTTTGTTAGCAAGCTTATGTGTTAGCAAGAAATTTTGAGCATAGCATTATAAATCATTTTATGCTTGAAATTATAAACATTTATGAATGTGAAAAAGAAAGGTTATTAACAGAAATGATATTATAATCGACTATTTAATATACTTCAAACTGATTAATGCTTTCAAGAATCAAAATATTGCATATTTAGCATTTAATAGCCTTTATAATTTATGTAGAAAATCACTGTCTCATGGCTTAAATTTCAGTTTGTTTTATTTCCACGCAAAGTGACATATATTCACGAACAACATTAATCATTTCCACTCATGATCAAACTAAAGAAATTTTTGCAAAAAAATATTTATATAAGATTTAATGCAATTTTGAGTCTTTATAATATTCAGTTACATAATAATTTGCAAGGTTTCTAAGTTTAAAGTTTTAGAAATTTTCTATTTACAAAATGAGCTTATACTTTCACCTTTTTTCACCTATGAAGTTAAAATCTATATGGTAGCCAAGTTCTGTTTATTTAAAGTGCTTTTTACAAGCTTTTATTTAACTCCCTAATGGTGTTTATCGCTGCAGTCAAAAGTTGGACTACTTTCTGATATGCTATTGAGTTCCAATTTGGTACACAAGCTGTGAATGATAATACAATACAGCGAAGCGACCTTTTCAAAATTCGATTTAGATTTTTTAAGGTTAATGTTGGAGCCATTTTCCGCACATATTGTCATTTAACAAACAAAGTAAAAATCGCAGATTTTGCGGGCGCATTGGATACAGCAGGGGGAAAAAATCTTTTAAATGAAATTTGTAATTAATTCCCCCTTTTTTTTTTTTTTTTTTTTTTTTTTTTGAAATTTAAAACTCCCTTGATTTTTTGACTCTTTGACCTATAGTACTTTATAATTTGACGTATAAAAATGTTAAGACACAATAACACGCCGAATAAATACTAATTCAGAAGTCAAACAACAAAAATCAGCGTAAATATAACGCTGATTTTGTTGTTTGACTTCTGAATTAATATAAAAATGTATTAGTTGCAAAGTTTTAAAATTTTCGCAGATGAAAAACAAACACTTCGCCTTCTTTTCAAACAAGAATGGTTAAAAAAATTAACAGTGCGATTTTCTACAAACTTGTAAAATATATGTTATAAATCAGAAAGAGAAGTATAGATTCTTCCTTTCACTTGGAAAATATTTTCAAGGTTATGATGTTTTTACATCACACTAGTTTCTCTCCTCCGTATATATTTCTCTAAAATTGGCTTTGTTTATTTATTTTTTAATCTTACTTGCCAGTTTATACATGTTCTTTCTCCCCCTTTTTTAATATATAGATTTTACATCTACAGTTCATTTCATTTTACTAATGTCATAAACAAAACAAAAAGAAATAGGATTTGTTAGAGTTTAAAATGATTTTCAATGAAATCTACTGAGTTATTTATAATTTTTTCCCTACTTCATAAGTTTATATACATTTTTCTCAACATTTCATTTTAAATTTTAATTTTCTTAATTTTGTAGAAATACGTCATATTTATTCTAATATCAAGAACATGTTTGTTACAAAGATCTGAAATTTTCAGATGTCACAGAACAAACTCATCACCCTCTTTTAAATCAAGAATAATTTTAAAAACCTTAATTAGGCGGCTTTCTATATTTTTTAAACTAGCCACGCATTTATTAACCTAACTCGCTCATGGTGTTTAACTCGCTCATGGTGTACCTCAGTATGAACAAAATTTTGGCATTCATTTTAAAACTATTCCTTGACAAGCTCACAAGCTCAAATTTTGCGCCCATACACACTGTTAATGACTATGCAATGTGGTGAAGAGAATTTTTTTTTAAATTAATGTTTAAACGGTTTTTTGTATGTATCTTCATTTAATGAATAAACCAAAAGTCTTTGAATTTTAGTCTTCACACTACGGGATAGAACAGGAAAAAAAATCTTTTAAATGAAATTTATTAAAGACCAGAAAAAAAAACTTTTAAATGAAGTTTATATTTAAAAATTTTAACATAATTTCTGATTTTTTGAAAATAATACTGTCTGTTTTCAAGCATATGATGTAAAAAAATAAAAAATTCAAAAATATTGGAACTAAAAACGTGATTATTCGTTGTTGAGTAATGATTTTTCCAATTGAATAATTTTTGATAACCTGCCATTCACACTAAAAAAGTTTAAAGTCTTTATATAATTAGCTTTTATTTAAAACTTCTAAAATAATTAATGAGCTAAGAAAGAAATCATAATATAGTTTAATGGGGAAAATGAATTAAATAAGTCTGTTTATAAAATTCGTCTATAATTTTATATCACAAATAATTAAAAAAATCTTGAACGCTAAATAACGAAATCTATTAATTGAATTCTATTGTTAAAAGTATTGTTTATAAATTTATCAAGGGGGCCCCATACTTTTATTATTCCTGATCTGTAGATGCATTTTTAAAGAGAATTATTTAATCTCTTGTTCCGATTAAATTCTATGATAAATTATTTTTCTCCTTTCAGTTCATTAATCATTCTATGAGCTTTATATAGACGCTTATTTTTTTAACACGTTTTAATTTTTTATACTCAATTTTTCCCCCCTAGTATTTGTGGTTTGTAGAAAATGCATTTTTATACGGGGGAGGAGACAACAGTATTTATGCCATGAAAATTTATGCAGTGCTGTAGTTGCATGTTTTGATAATTAGTTTGGAGTTTTTTTGTAATTTCTTATACCCATCATATTAATATAATAATCAAATGCACATATTACATTCATAAACTGTAACGAAAATGCCTGTTTTTATTCAAAATTAATTTTATTTATTCTCCTTTTAAGGAGATGTAACTTTTATCTACAAAGCAGATAATATTAATTTCATATAATGTGAGTCATTTGTCTCTTTTAGGCTATTTTTACTTTGAATACTGAATGACTTTGTGAAAAGAATCAAAATTGTGTAAAACATTTCAGTGATAACATAAAAATTTCAGCCAGTATTACTATCTATGTTTGTTTTATCATAATCTTTATAGCTTTGCCTAATGAGTGGGGAAATAATCCAGATGTCAAATTCTATGAGTCTGATTTTTGAAGTTATGGATCTTTCACAAGCATCGGTAAGATATTCGGTCATTTTCCCTAAGGTGCTTTTAAATAGACAAAAAATACATTTTTTAATGTTGAATCTTTGTAACTTTTAAAAATTTCAATTATTTAAATGAAAGCTAGCAAGTTTCAAGGGTATAATTTCTTAAAATAATCTCCATGGTACTTTTAAGTTTATTAGCTGATTTGGTAATAAAGGAAAGCAATTAGAAGGCTATTTATTCTGCTTTGTGTAGGTAATGGATCTAAGTGTGATAATAAATGTATTAATATGTTATACTGGTAATTTTTTCAACACTTGTATCACGTTAACAGTATAATAATTCTCTTTATACATTCATTTACTTTTCTAATGTAATGAATCATAAAGCATATGATTTTTTAATGTATCTAATGCTTGATTTGATTTTCTTTCGTCATGATTTTTGTTCCGTATTTGTTTTTTTATGATATTTAAGATACATATAGAAAGAATGATATTTAGATTACATATGCATATGAAGAAATACACTAATTGCGTTAAACGAAAAGCCGAAAAAATGGCCTTAAATTAATATTGATTTTATGGATAATTCTATGTATTTTAGAAAACTGAAATGACTTCACTTTTAAATTGATTCTTCACTTAATAATTCCTTTTTGTTGAAAGAAAATTTTCTCATTAAAAACGAAGAGCTCAACTCTGTCAAAACGTATGTAATTTTTTATGAAAACAGCGTCCACATAAGGATACATTTATTTAATTTTAAATACTATATTTTTAATAATTTAATATTAAAAATAAAAGAAAGACTTAAAAATGTATTTTATTATTTACTTTTTTTCAATAATTGGCGTTTTCTGAATAATTATACTTTATTAAGCCTTTGATATTAGATTGTCTCATTGCTCATTTTTCATTCTTTGAATAGCCTGCAACTGTTAGTCGATGTGGAATGATTTACATGGAACCATCAGCATTAGGTTGGGAGCCAATAGTCACTTCATGGTTAAATACATTACCTGAAACATGGAGTTTAGAGCAAAAAGATACTATATATGCCTTATGCAAATGGATCATTCCTTCAACATTATATTTTATGCGAAAAAATTGCAAGGTAATTTTTCTTACCTGAGACATCTTTGAATGTTTATATTTTACAAATAACTGTCTGAAACTTATTTCAGATAAAATGTCATATACTATCTTAAACGAGGGCACTACCTTTCCTTTTACATAGATAAAAATGTTCATGTTTACCTGTTTGAGTAGAGACATATTTTGTCAACAGTTGCAATAGAATTGTGTTATAACATAACTGTACTAAAACACAAGGTTTAAAAAATGTCACTATATTTTTTTAACGATTGATCTTAGATGATCTTAGATCTTAGATCAAAATTTCACTTATGGTAGAGAATTTTGTAAACAAAGTTCAATACTGTAAATAGAAGAGTTCTTAAATATAAGAAATGTATCAAATCTAACTTTTTTTACGTTTTAATAATAAATATAAAGCAAAAATTTCCAATTACTGAAATGTTCATTATGCTTAAAAAGTAGTTTTATGTGCGCTGTTTAAGATGTTAAAAGATTTTAATGATTTATAATTAGCTCCCAGTTTATTGAGGTAGTAACAGTTATGATGTCCATAAATAACTCAAAAATCCTTAGTTAAAGGGTAGTTAAAGAAAAACGCCGAGAAAAGGAATGACTATACTATAATTAACAGAAAAATATTATAACTTGTATTTTCGAGCAGTTAAATATTTAGAATAAGTATATTTTTTACATAAATTAAAGCAGCATTCAAAATAAAAAGAATTTACTGCGAAACCATAAACATCATTAAAAGTGAGTTATAAAGAGCATTAGAGTTTTGATTTATATTATTCTTACATTTTTAATAGTAGCCCATGAGAAATAGAAAATTAATGATCTACACATGATTTATTTTTACAAAGAAGCAATTTGCTTTTAACAGCTGATTTAATAATGTTTGCATATTCCAAATTACGTGCAATTAATTCATGTACTGTGAAAATGCATAAAACAAGTGCTAAATATTATAGCATCATTTGCTAACGTTGCTGTTAGCATTTTTTTTTACTTTTGTTTTTTCTTAGACTGTTTTATTTTATGCTGATGACTTATGGTAGTAATTTTCGCTCCATTTCACATTAAACGAGCATAACCTTTTTTACACAAGGTCTGGTTGCTCAACCCCTGGTAAATCAGGAGTTGAATGTACGTAACTTTCTGATTTTTATTATCGGGCAAAGTTAAAAATTAATTATTCTTGAAACATATACAATTCTGCACAAAAATAAGAAATAAAGGCAAAATGCAGAATGAAACAGAAACTATTTAATGGATATGCGTGAAACTGATCCAAGAGGCTGGTGGGACGTTACTAGACCACATAGCAAACTATAAACTAAAGACATACAAAAACACATGTATTACAACCATCATATTGCAAAAGACCAAATATGTCCGAAGAAATGTACATTGGAAACACCACGCTAATAACAGGTATCTTACCATCTTGCTGAAATTCATGCTTGATAACGACGAGGCAAGGTGAAAGTAGTATCGTTGGCAGCTTATTGTTGGCAGTAGCTTCCATTCCAGTAGTAATGCATGTCCGACCTCGTGGAGGGTGTCTGGTGGCACGCACTACGACCTGCTATCCGTCGTCCCAACATATCCCACACATGCTCTATGTGATCCAGATCCGGTGATTTAGCAGGCTACGGCAGATGTGGAATGGTTTTACTCTCTAGATAATTACGCACCACTCGAGCTGCATGCGCGCGGACGTTACCATCCATAAATATTGAATTGGTACCCATTGCAGCGATAAGAGGACGCATAAGAGTGTAGAATTTCGTCGCGATATCGGACGGCTATGACGGAACCACCAGGAATTATGTAGAGGTCGGTGCGGCCGTTTGTTTGTATCCCAGCCTTTACAAGTAAACCTCCTCTCTGTAATGGTCTCTTTCGGCAATATTTGGTGCAAAATCATTGCCTTTTGGAAGTCAATCTGGATGTCAAATCAAAACTCATCCGTTAAAAGTATATGACTCCACTGCTCTGGTAAAACTGTGATCACGCTCCGTCATGCGACGGGGACAAAGGAACACAAACTACAGGTGATCGCGCGTACAGTGAGTGCATCATCATGCAGTTGATGTGACACAGTTTGGTGGGATATGCTACTGCAGCAGTAGACAGATACGACGCCAGCTGCTGTGCTGTTGGTGATCTACGGCGTTCTGCACATAGCAAAAGGAAGCGATCGTCTGGCGTTGTGGTAATTCTACCCGGCGTCGAGACCCACGTTTTCTACAAGGATTTTAATCCCTTTGGAAACAGACTATTGATGATATTACGATGCGTATTCAGCTCTCTCGCAGCAGCGAATTATCTTTCACCTGCTTCCAATATTCCGACAGCCCTCCAACACCTTTCACGGTGCAAATGGTGTCTTCGGTTCATTACTTTCCGCTTTGGCTAGCTCGGATTATACAGAACTATCGGTGTCTGCAAACAGGCACATATGTGCGGGATTCCCCTTTTGAAAACGTTGTGGTGTGACTGTGGAAATGCGTTTGATGCTAATTTTGGTTCCTTATTTGCACTTGTAAACTGTATGTTTTAATTCTCCGTTTTACATTTTGTTACCTCATATGTAAACCTCATATGTAAACTGTATGTTTTAATTCTCCGTTTTACATTTTGTTTACGTTACTGTTGTTTTGTTTGTTACGTTTATTGCTTTTCACTTCTTTGTACGAAGTAAAGGAATTATTGTAATCTCGAAAATTTTCGAGTATCCTATTTCAACGAAAATATCCATTTTGACCGCTATCGAATGCAATAACGATGTTTTTACTTGACATCTGTACGTAAGGACAGACTAAAGGACTTTTTCCCAAAACGGGTTGCAAAAAGGATTTAAAATGGATTCAGAAGAGGTTTTTCCATGACGTGTGTACGTACGTATGTATGAATTTATCTCGCATAACTCAAAAACAAGTAGCCAGAGAACGAGCTGAGGTTTTTTTTTTTTTTTTAATGTTGGTAAATTGTACATTTTTTTAATTTTGAAAATGATTGAATTCTCTTGTTCTTATCTTCCAGTTAAGGTTTTTGTGCCTTTAGTTAATCTGCATGCAATAGTTGTAGAATTAACAACAGTTTAAGTGCGGCTAACCCTAATTTTTTTAAACATAGCAGCAGTATTTGTTTACATTTGAAACTTAGCAGAATAGTAAATTCTGAGTTTCTCTACCTTCAGTGACTTTTTGCCGAATGGGGCCAAAAGTAAACTTTAAGTTTTTATGCACCGAAAAATCTTCCTTCTTGCCCTACTTCCGAATTGCTTGTTTTTGCATATAAACTGCATTTAGTGTTTAATATTTTTCAATTTTTAATAAAGATATTTTAAAGTTTTATGTATTTTTGCCTTGCCGCGAAATGAAAACTGAATTAATTGAATTAGAAATATATCTCTAATGAAATTCGAGGAAACAAGTTTAAATAAAATGCAGCAAAAATTGCATATAATTTAATATTCCGTACAAGGATGTCATGTGGTGTACACATCATATTTCGTTTTTAAAACGAGTGTACTTTGTATAAGTCACTTTACCTCATGGCAATGTTCTGTCTGCATTCATTTTGTGCACCATTTAGGCAAAGTAGCACTAATGCAGGTTACGAAGCTATGTCTTATCCTCGTAACTTTTTCAGTAATGTTAAACCAGGTGCGCTATATGAATTTGCAAGTGCTACAGAGAATGTTACAGCCATTTATAGATCTTGCAATGAGACAATAACCTGTATGACACAAGATGAAGGAAAGAATCTTTGAAAGCCCCTGTGAAAGATCAACTGATTGCTTTAAGGAAAGATGACTTAAATTCGTAATTGCTTAATATACTTTGAATCGTCGACAATATACAGATGGAGATTTAACTAAATTTGTATTCCGTAATGTGGGAACTAAAACTGCTCACATCGAATCTTTTGAATGCCTTGTAACGAAAGTTCTATATCAAAGTCGAATCACTCATAATCCAAAGGACGAGATGCATGGCCTGGAGGGTTTTCCATAAATTTTAATTAAACTTAATATTTACATATATACAATGTAGGCTAAAATGCCTGAATCGAATATTTAATGCTCAAGAGGCAAGAACTGAATAGTTCCAGCTTAAATCTAAATCGAATTCTATTGCGTAGTGCATCGAAATTCTACCTTCAAGAAGAAGAATATTTTTTCAAGTCACGTGTTCAGAAGGGGAAAGGTCAAGTAAGCCAATAGATGGACTCCTAACGCCATCTCTTGGCGATATCAAAGAATATTCCTTAACACACTCCCCACCTGAACTCTGACAAGAGTTCATCTAACTCAGTTATACATACAATCAAGTACATAAATCACTATTCTATAAAAATATTAAAAAATACTAATTAGTCAAACACTTCAATTCCAATACAGGTATCAGATAATAAATGTTATAACTAATAAATGAACTAAATTTTAAAATATTTTCCACTTAATTGAACAAACTTAACTAAGGATATTCAATTTAATCATTAATAGACAAAAAAGGAAAAGAAGCATAACTAAATCGTTAAAGTTCAAAATATCTAAAGTTCAAGAGGATATAGATGTTGAACAGTACGTTTTAAAATCCCATTACCAGCTTTTAATTCGAATGATCGGACTTTACCATCACGTCCAGGAATAATTTTTATGATTCTACCAAGTTTCCATAAGAGTTTTTTTTTTTTTATTATCTCCTTCGACTAAAACAACATCTCCTACTTTTAGTTCTGGTTGAAGTTGCGGATTCTTCAAGAAATGGGCAGTTCTAAGATCTAATAAATATTGTTGCTTCCATTTCCACCACAACTGTTTTAACAGCAATTCTTGATAACGCTTTCTTTTTAACAGCGTTTCTCTTGTCGTTTCGCTACCGATGATTCTAGCAAAGGTCAAAGGATACTTCAAATCAGTTTGTCCAATGTTTAAGAAGTGCATTGGAGTCAACGGTTGCGGCTCGTCATTGTCGTTGTAAACGTAACTTAGAGGTCGTGAAT